CTGGAGGCACTGGGTGATGTGTCTGGCTCCAACATAGCGGCCGATTTAGAGGAGGTGAGGGGTCTTCCTCTGCACCCAGGCACAGGGCTGGGTGCTCCCGGCGCTGCTGGGGCTGTGCAGCGAGGGGGTGGCTTGGGAAGATCTTTTAATTGCTGTCGCTAGCCACTGGCACGGTCAGGTCTGGGTGCTGGGGAGAGCCTGGCTGTCCTGTGCCACCGGGACCTGGGGATGGAGGGGATGTGCTGCTCAGCCCTGGGCTGCGGGGACGTGAGCTGTGTGCTGTGCCCCCCTGCACGCAGGTTAACAGGACGCTGGACACGATCCCTGCCAAGGTGCAAGAGCAGTCCCAGGATGTGGTGACGAGTAAGCAGGGCTTTGTGCCCTGTGTGCCGAATTCCCCCGCTCCCAGGGCTCCATATTCCCTCCTCATCCCACCCCTGCCTGGAGACCTCCCCTGCTGCCGCCCCACTGCCTGCCGCCCTGGCTGTGCCCAAGTCCCCGTGTGCCATCATGCTGATGCCACCCTTGACCAAAGCCACCCCCTTCCCATCCTCTCCCAGTCCCCGCTGCCCCAGGCTCACCTGCCCTGGATGAGCAGGACCTGGGCAGCAGTTCACTGCACCAACATGTCCCTGTCCTCTGCAGAGACCCAGGACCAGCTGGGCCTCATCCGGCAGGAGATCAGGAGCTTGCAGGAGCAGCTGCCACTCCTGGATGTGGAGGAGAATGTCGGGGCCTTTGTGAGCAATGCCACGTTGGTGCTGGAGGAGTACAGGGAGCCGATCATGGCCTTGGACGGGCTCAGGTAGGCGAGGGGCTGCTCTATCCCCCGGCTCCCTTGTGCAGAGGGGCTCAGGCTCTCAATCCTGCAGTTACTGGAGCTGGGGGCTTGCTCGGTGGTGGGTGCAGGGTAGCCAGAGCTGTGCCTTGCAACCACCCATGCCCCTTCTCTCCCAGGCTGCCTGGGGGCTTTTTCCTCCCCGAGAAGGCAGCTGATGGGCACTGCTCGGGGTGCCAGGTCCTGCTGTCTGACTCCTGCTCCTCCTCTTGCCCCAGGTGGAGCGTGTGTGTCCTCCTGTGCTGCATGGTGCTGCTGGTGGTCCTCTGCAATGTCACTGGGCTGCTGCTGGGGCCCCTGGGGCTGAAGGAAAGTGTCCTGCCCATGCAGCGCAGCAGCCTCTCCAACGCCGGCGGGAACTTCTTCATGGCGTGAGGCTTCTTTGGCAGCCGAGGATGCGTGTGGGAGCGGTGGGACGGGTGGGCAGGGCTGGGCTGGGGATGCTCAAGCTCCTAAATCATCAAATTACTGCAGCTCAGTGGTCTGCCTCGTGGCAACCCACCATGGAGCTGGTAAATGTGAGGGTAAAACATGGTGCTGGTGAAAGGTGTTCGAGCAGACCCCCTTCGCCCTGTGCCGGCAGCGGCCTGGCAGCGTGTGCGTGGTGGCCTGCAAAGCTGGGGGAAGCTGTGCCCGGGTCCGAGCCCCAGGGTACAACCTGGCCGTGCTCTGGGGGCTGAAGGCAGAGCAGAGATGTGCTTGTGGGGACGGTGGTGCTTCCCGACATTGCTGGGGGGCAAGGGCTGTGCAGGCCCCGGGCTCTGCGAGCTGGAGGCAATGCTAGCACCAGTGCTGGGGCACGGGGCCTCGAGTGCTGATGGTGTCTGTCCCGGCAGAGGAGTCGGCTTCAGCTTCATATTCTCCTGGCTGCTGATGCTGCTGGTGCTGATCACCTTCGTGCTGGGGGGAAACATCTACATGCTTGTCTGCGAGTCCTGGCGCAGCCAGCAGCTCCTCCAGGTGAGCTCCCCAGAGAGAGACACCCGTGCCCGGAGCCACTGCCGCCTTCCTGAGGGCTGCTGGTGGAGCGGAGGCAGCGCTGGCCAGTTTGGGATGCTCTTCCAGGTGTCCTGCCCTGCACCTTCCAGGTGTCTAGTTTCTCCATCTCTTCCCTTGCTCTCAGCTCCTGGACACCCCTGGCCTGATCCCTGGCTTCAACTTGTCGGAGCTGCTGGGCCAGGAGGGTGGCACAGCAAACTTCTCGGAGATGTACAGGTGGGTCCCAGCCCCGGCACCACGCCTTTGGGGAGGGGTGCAGCTGCTCGGCGCCCTCCGATGCTCCCTGGGACGGGGCAGTTTGCCCTGCCTGCCCTGGCTGCGATGCCGGGGAAGGAGCGAGGTGTGACTTGCCCACGCGGGTGAGGACGTGCTCCTGGGAGGGGGTGGCCCTTGCCTGTACCGTTTTCAGCCCTGTGCCCCCGCTCCTGCAGGCAGTGTCAGCGAGATGCTGCCCTGTGGCAAACGCTGCACCTGGACCAGAGCGTGTCCCTGGACGAGCTCTTGAACATCAGCCAGGTGAGCGCGGGGGTCTGGGCGCAGGGCTGGTGCTGCGGGGGACAGTGAGGGGCCAGCCCCATCATGGCTCCCCTCGCTCCTGCAGTACACAGGGGAGATCTCCACAGCCTTTGAGAAGATGAACATCACCCTGAGCCCCATCTCCTTGCTCAGCCAGAGCCAGAGAGACTTGCTGCT